GGCACATGCCTATAATTCCAGCTGAGGCAGGAGGATCATAAGTTCAAGGCCAGCCTGGACAACTTAGTGAGATTCTGCCTAAAAAGTGCTGGAGATATAGCTCAGGGGTATCAGTACTTCTTCCCCCCGCCCCCAAACACACACACAAGCTATATTTTCTAATAGTGAAGWCTGTATGAGAACCAAGCATTTTAAACTAAGTTTTTCATCAGTATATGTATATAAGGTACTTTTCCTCTATGTCTAAAAAATCATGTGAAATGAAAACAAAATGAATAAAATGAACTGAATCTTCTATATTCTCACTAAAAACATACCTTCATGTATTTTTAAAACTTATATTAATATATCTTTCATAAAAACACATCTCAGTGAGTCCAGAGAATTTCTAGAGCAAGAACGGAAGGCATAGGGACAGACCTCAAACCTCAGAGCAGCAAGACAGACTGTGGCCACAGCTAAATTTTCCTACTCATCCTACAAGGTGGCTGTAAGGATTAAAGATGACATAGGGCCTAGTACAGTGTCTGGTACATTTTAGATCCTGAAAAAAGTTGTAGAAATGGAGCTGGGATGGTACAGGGCACAGACCTGGTCGTGGGGGAAGCAGAAGATTTGAACTCCAGCTGAAAACCCATGTCTTGTCTCTGTTGCACAGCCACCTCAAGTATAAGAGTTCTCTGTGTTCAGKCCTAGTCCATCATAATTGGACTTAATGTCATTTCATCAGTTATCCTGCATGCCCCACCCCMAAAACTCTTCAGTGATCTCCTAATTGAGAGATTCAACCATTTCTCTTCAGGTACCATTATATTCCATCTGTCATTGAGGCRTGTGACACACTGGCCATTCTCTTTTGCCTGATGTGGTCACTGGTTTTGGGTACCAATTCCTACCCCCATGTCATCCTCTGGTACTGCAGAACTAAAAATAAAACTGTTATTTTCCAGACTCCCTTAAGTAGGCTGGGATTCTTTAGRCCAATGGTTCTCAAATTTAGCATGTATTAGGATCACCTGGAGGGCTTGTTTAAAAAAAAAAAAAATAGGTTACTAGGGTTGGGGATGTAGTTCACGGGTAGTGCTTGCCTAGTATGCGTAAAGCCCTGGGTTTATCCCCAACATATGCCCCTAAAGACAAACAAACAAATAACACAAAGAAGCAAAACAGATGGCTAGGCCTACCTCAAGAGTTTAAATTTTGATGTGGGAACAGAGAATTTGTTTTTCTTCTGAGTTCCCAGATTTTATTCATGTGGCTGGTCTGGGGAATTAGGCTGTATGCAAACTGGACTTTGTCTCTTTGGTACAAACAGAGTATAGGAAGAGGCTGTTTTTCCCATTATTATTTCTTTTGGTGAGCCAGGTCAAGGATGGGGCTAAAATGAACATTCCGCCCTTGCAGAGGTTGAGAGGCCACCGTGCCTGTGCCATAAAGACTCAACCACAGACATCATTATAATAAGTACATGTATGAAAACACGAATGATTTGTGTATAACCAGAGACATGAAAAATTATGCTCTATATGTGTACTATGAATTGAATTGTAATCTTCTGTCATGTATAATAAATAAATATATAAATAAATCTCAACAGCAGCAACTTCCTAACCACAGGATAGTGTCTACAGATGTCTTAAGCTCACTCATCCATTCAGTGCTGGCCCTGACTCCCACACTCTGGTCTTCCAATCATTTGCTATACACCTAATTCCCCGACTTAATAAATTATTTTCTGCTTGATTTAGAGTGGTTTGTTTTCTACAGTGAATCCAAGACTGATCTATCCCTCTTCACAACTTTTTCCTCCTTGATTTTCACGAAATTGGTTATCTCCTTTTTCTTTTCCTCTCTGAAGACTTCTTTTCAGTCTTCTACTATGTTTCTTTTTATCTTGTTTGGAGGCATTTCAACAGAAGATTGGGTCAATTGAACAATTTGTCTCCCTGGGTCAAATTGTTCAAATTGATTGAATATCTACAATTCTATCTCCAAGTATACAAGCATTTCTTTTTTTTTTTTTAAAGAGAGAGAGAGAGGGGGAGAGAGAATTTTTTAATATTTATTTTTTAGTTTTCGGCGGACACAACATCTTTGTTTGTATGTGGTGCTGAGGATCGAACCTGGGCCGCACGCATGCCAGGCAAGCACGCTACCGTTTGAGCCACATCCCCAGCCCCATACAAGCATTTCTGAAATAGGGTGGTGGTACAGCTCACTACTTGCAAATTGACGAGTCCTATTTTAGCCAAAAAATCAAGTATCATAGCAGCCATGCAGCAAATATGGGTTTGGGACATGAGAGATATTACCTGTCAATCAGCTATTAGTTATTCAGAAATTGCTGGTGACTATTCCACCCAAACTTTGCTGTCTGTTTTATAGTGTAGCTAACATTCACTCTGATTCATGGCCTGTGTATAATAATGTTCAGCCTCTCCTTCGTTTCCAACATACTCAGGTTAACCATAATGATTCCAACTTCTGTTTGGTGTCATCTCTTGATATGCATACCCAAAATATGGAATCCTATTGAAACAAATGTGCAGCAAAGGGTAAGACCATAAGAAGAGATTATGGTATATATCAGACTCATATTTGGCCATATTTATGTGGAGTGATTGATTTTGAAATGCTTTCAATTCCCTTTTATTGAACAGCTCTACCACTGAGCTATATCCCCAGCTCTAATAATTCTTCTTNTTGAGCCACATCCCCAGCCCCATACAAGCATTTCTGAAATAGGGTGGTGGTACAGCTCACTACTTGCAAATTGACGAGTCCTATTTTAGCCAAAAAATCAAGTATCATAGCAGCCATGCAGCAAATATGGGTTTGGGACATGAGAGATATTACCTGTCAATCAGCTATTAGTTATTCAGAAATTGCTGGTGACTATTCCACCCAAACTTTGCTGTCTGTTTTATAGTGTAGCTAACATTCACTCTGATTCATGGCCTGTGTATAATAATGTTCAGCCTCTCCTTCGTTTCCAACATACTCAGGTTAACCATAATGATTCCAACTTCTGTTTGGTGTCATCTCTTGATATGCATACCCAAAATATGGAATCCTATTGAAACAAATGTGCAGCAAAGGGTAAGACCATAAGAAGAGATTATGGTATATATCAGACTCATATTTGGCCATATTTATGTGGAGTGATTGATTTTGAAATGCTTTCAATTCCCTTTTATTGAACAGCTCTACCACTGAGCTATATCCCCAGCTCTAATAATTCTTCTTATGTTCCTTACTTCAATAAATAGTACGTGAATTGGGGAAAAACGGAAGGGGGATGGAAATAGGAAAGATAGTAAAATGAACTGGACATTATTTTCCTATATTCATATAGGAAATGTGTAACTCTACATCATGTACAAACCACAARAATGGGAAGTTATACTCCTTGTATGTATGTCAAATACATTCTACTGTCATATTTAACTAAAAAGAATAAAAAAATAAATAGTACTGCCACCCTTTGAATAACTTTGAACATTTTTTATTATGAAAAGAAAAAGAGGCATCCAAGATTACCATAAACAACCAAGAACACTATTTCTTAAATTGTTTCATTGAGGCAGGATAGTAAACTGAAATAAGACAATATGAATATGATGACTTATTTTCAGTAGTTGATATTTATAGGGGTTATCCTCGAAAGAGCATTAAAACATAAGGAAGCTGGGCACGGTGGTGCATGCCTGTAATCCCAGTGTCAGGAGGTTGAGACAGGAAGATCGCAAGTACAAAGCCAGCCTCAGCAAAAGCGAGGCACAAAGCAACTCAGTGAGACTCTGTCTCTAAATAAAATACAAWACAGGGCTGGGGATGTGGCTCAGTGGTTCAGTGCTCCTGAGTTCAATTCCTGCTACCCCCACYTCCCMAAAAAAAGTTTAAGGAAAGTTAACTTGCACACACATCATACATGAAAGTAATATGTAAAACTTCCTAAATGTATATTTATAAAATCTAGGTAAGTGTTTCTAGAAAGTGCTTTGCTGCTATTTTGAGCAGTGCTAAGCTGGATATGACACACCCTATATTGTGGGTGCAAGGTTCTTTTTTTTCCTGTTTAAATAATCATAAAATATGTACAAAAAWTTTTTWAAATATATCTTTCTGTTTGAAAAGTAGATGAAGCTTCCCAGAAAAGAAGAGTCTCTGGAATTCAATAAACACTTTCTGGTTAGTCCAATTACCCCAAAGTCAGGCCTACACTGATTTTATCACTGAAAGAGCTTTCTTTCCTTTTCTTTTCTTTTCTTTTCTTTTTTGAGACAGGGTCTCACTATGTGGCCCAGATTGGCTTCAAACATCTGAGCTCAAGCCCAGCCTCCTGTCCAGTCTCCCAAGCAGCTGGGTCTACAGGTACATGCCAACATGCCCGGCAAGAGTGCTTTTTAATTCCATTCCCAGCACATAACCAATCTTTTAAAAATACTGTTCCATTTCCTCTACCATATGCCTACAAGCTGGGAATGGCTGTGGTGGTGCAGCTGCTCTGGAGGCTGAGGTGAAAGGATCACTTGGATCCAGGAGTGTGCCCATCTAGATAACACAGCAAGACCCATCTCAGAAAAAAAGAAAAGAAATTTTAAAGAGAGGATTTATAGTCTTTATCCCTAAGCAATTCTCCTAAGCTAAGTACAGCTTTCTTATCCTAGAGAAAATGAAAATGGTA